TGGAAAGAAGAGAAGAGAGTGTTGCTGGTGGCTTTGACCAAGGCCATCACAGTACAATGTAAGAGAGAAGACCAATGATGTTCAGAGCCTGTGAAATCCCCCATGTCCTTGTTTTGCCCTCTCTGAATAGCTCACTTAAACGAGGACCCTGCAGAGTTACTCGGGGGATTAACCTTTCAAGGTTCCCTGGGAGGCATGAAGTTCCATAGCCTCTTGCTCCACCATCCTTCCCATTCCACACGTGACAAAAGCGCCTTGGTCCTGGACTCAGAAGTGCAAGTCCCTGGCTGTGCACTGATTTACTGAGTGATTTTTGGTGTGTCACTTGCCTTCTTGGAGGCTCAGTCTCTCCATTTGCTTGAAGTTCCTTCCAGCTTGCTTGGGACCTGTGGAGGGAGGAGAGAAGTCATTAGCACCAATTTCCTGTTTTTACTGGGTATGTTATTACTGGAAAAACCCGACAACATCGGTCCCCGCCTCTGCTGATACAGAAGAACTCCATCCTTGTTTATTTCCAAGAAACAAAACACAAGCAAACCTCCTCCTGCAGCCGTCCTCTGCCTCCTGCTCCACAGAGCGCCAGGGATGGGGAGGGAATGGAACCACCATTTCAGATCTGACTCAGCCGCATCAGCAGTGGAGCTCTGTGTGTTCGCTGAGGCGCACCCTGGGCCGGGTGCTGTGGACAGAGCTGAGCCAGTCCTGCTCTCGGCGTGGGGCTTATCTAGTGGGAAACACAGGAGGTGGACAAGGCAACTCCGACATCGTGGCGGGTGAGAAGAGATGTGTGTGTGTGTGGGGGGGTTCTCTGGGGGGCTAGACGCGGAGGTCAGGGACTGCTACATGGACGAAGTGGCCTTTTAGCTGGGTCTTGACTGTTGTTTTAGGTTTGGACAGCTAGGAGTGGCAGGGAAAGGAGAGTCCAGGCAGCACAAGCAACAGGAGCAAAAGGAGGCAGGCATCAAAGAGCAGGAGGTGGAAGGTTGGATTTGAGAGTGCATGGGAAGAAGAAAGGGGCTGCTTAACCAGAGGTGATGGACTTGAACAGCCTAGTCTAACCCCCTACCTTCCTCTAATGTAGACTGGAAAGCAAATCAAGTTCTCAGCCTCCCTTGCCACTAGACATGGCTGTGTCACCAAGTGCTGGCCACTGGGAAGTGGACAGGACTCCCCAGAGAGAGCTTCCATCTTCTAATAAAAAGGCAAAGCCGACCAAGCAGACAGCCTGTGACTCTCAGCCTTTGGCTCCACTCCTCTTTTTGCCTAGAATATGGATGTGATGTCTGGATGCACAGCAGCCGTTCTGTGACCAAGAGGAGACAGATGCTGAAAGTATCAGAGTAGGAAGCCAGAGGGAACCCGGCCTCAATGACTTCCCTGAGTACCCCACGAGCCCTGAGCATTAGGGCTGTATGTGTGAGTGTGAACAGGGGCTGGTGGAGCCCAGAGAAGCCCAGACCCAGGAAAAATTTGGGAGCAGGTGGTGTCTAAAGGTTGTTTAGGGTTCAGCCAGACGGCAAACCTCCCCCCAGTATCTACCACGTCCTTCTCCTGGGACGTGGATCACTGGACATCCTCGGTGACTGGCCTGAACGGTGGTAGCATCAGTAGTTCGAGTGTGGGAGCTGAAGCAGGAAGAGGAGGAGTGTGGTGTGGGGGCAGCTGTTTGAGGAGCGGGGAGATTTCTGGTTCTGTTTGACCAGGTTGAACTCTGGAGTCTGGGCTGGAGATGGACGTTGGGGTTCACGAGCTGAGAGTAGACGGCAGAAGATGGAGGAGAGGAGAGAAGCCTGCTGGGGGCTGCCCAGGTGTAGGGCTCAGGTGGTGGCCCAGGAGGCAGGGATGGGATGCGGGCCAGCAGGCAGGAGGGGACCCAGGAGCATCCCTCGAGAAAGACCTTCGCTGTCTGTGACCGTATTAGTTTCCTGTGGCTACTGTCGCAAATTGCCACAAACGGCGTGACTTAAAACTAAAGAAATTAATTTTCTCAGAGTTCTGGAGGCCGGAAGTCTGAAATCAAGGAGTCAGCAGGGCTCTGCTCCCTCTGCAGGCTCCAGGGGTTGATCCTTGCTGACCCTGCCGGCTCCAGGTGGCCCTAGGCACTGCGTGGCTGGAGGCTGCCTCCCTGACTCCGCCTCTGTCTTCACCTGGCCCCGCCTCTGTGTGTCTGTGTCTCTTCTTAGGAGGGCATTGGTCATGAGGTTTAGAGCCCGTCCTAAAGCCAGGATTTCATCTCCAGATCTTTAACTAAGTATATCTGCAAAGACCTTATTTCTAAACAAGGTCATATTCTGAGGTTCTGGATGGACATGAATTTGGGGGGGGACGCTTTTTAATCCCTCAGGGACCTTGTTCAGGTGTGGGCCCCAGAGGCTGCTCCACCCCCCACCGCCCCCTGCCAGGTGAAGGTCATGCGAGCTGGGCTCATGGTCCCTGGGCGGCTGCCTCTCCGGGCTTGGCTGTTGCCAGGAGCCAGCTGGCGCTGACGTGGGTGCCTACCGCAGCTCTGCTCCAGGGTTTCCCATAATGACGCTTCCAGGCCGGAGACGAATTCCCCTGCTCTTCTAGAGACGTGTGCACGGCGCTGATAATGAGCGCTACCATTGGCAATTACCTGCTTCTGGGTTTAGAAGTAATTTTCTGTCTGGGAATAATTGCCTTGAGGACCTCAGAAAAGCAAGCTTCAAATGGGGAAACTAGGTGGTTGAAGAGTCTCTTTGAAAAGGACCGAGAACAAACCCTCCTCATGCGGAAGGCGTGCCTGGCTCAAGCCCTTGGCCACGTTGGTGCGTGGGGCTATGGGAACCCAATTACCCTCATGGCTCCTCATGCCACCCCCCAGATGGCCTGGCCGCTTCCACAAAGTTCTGCTCTGCAGTGCAGCCTGCGTGGAGATGCTCCGTGGCAGGGAGAGCCCAGGCTGGGCTGGGGATTGAATCCCGACTCCAGCCCGTGAGAGCAGTAGGCGTGGCCAGCCTCAGTTTCCTCTTCCTCTGAAAGGGGGTAAAGTGACCCACCCGGGCATCAGGCAAGGGTCACGTGGACAATGTGCGTGAAGTGTGCGTGTGTACCTGGCACGTAGCACGTGCTCAGGGAAAGTGGCTCATCCTCCCGGGAAAGTGGACGTGACGACTGAAGGAAGGGCAGCGATAGGATGAATGGGGAAAGGTATAAGGTCTGGGTTCGATCCTTTCTAGCAGTTCATCGAGCAAGCCGTCGAATATCCCTGGGTGAGTGCGAAATGGGGTCAGAATAGCAGGGCTGTTAAGAGGTGAGATGTGCAAATATCTTGCAAACTGTAAAGTGCTGTCCGTCTGCTTTGCTTTTTTTTTTTTCGGTGCACGGGTCTCTCACCACTGTGGCCTCTCCCGTTGCAGAGCACAGGCTCCGGACGCGCAGGCTCAGCGGCCATGGCTCACGGGCCCAGCCACTCCGCGGCACATGGGATCTTCCCGGACCGGAGCACGAACCCGTGTCCCCTGCATCGGCAGGCGGACTCTCAACCATTGCGCCACCAGGGAAGCCCCGTCTGCGTTTTATACATAGTAACAGGAAAACCCCAATCACCACACCCCGTCTGCTAGACCGGCATTGATCTTCTGGTTACCCCAGTGGTTCTCAAAGTGGGGTTCCTGGGCCCAGCTGGCATCAGCTGGGAACTTGCTCGAAAGGCACATTTCAGGGCCTACCCCAGACCTACTGAATCAGAGACTCTGGACTGGGGCCGGAGGGTCTTCCAGGGGATTCTGCGTGTGCTAAAGTTTGGGAAACACTGTTTCACGTGGGCTCCCCTCTCCTGTTCAGAGCCCCCGACATGCTCAGCTTCTCAACTGTGCTTCCCCGCTTCCCATGAGCCTCTCGCAGAGCCCCACTGCTGGCCTGGTATCTTCCAAACCCCTAGATATCGGCACCCCTGGTGTGTTCCAGGCAGAAGCACTGAAATCCCGAGGCCTGTGACTGTCCCGGCTCCCAGCCATTGACCAGAGCAAGGTGCTCACTGCCGTGTTCGTGGGTGTGGGTGTGAGGGGACCCCCATATCCTCTAGGGACCCTTTGGAGACCGGCCAAGGAGTCGGAATCCAGGATGTTGATTTCCTCTCTGTCACCAGCCCCCGCCCCCGGGGCACCCTGGACGTGACTGATCTTCTGGGTCTCAGTTTCCCCGTCTGTGTCATGGGAACGCTGCTCTGGAGGGTCTCTCCATCACTTCTGAGATGTCTTCCCAGCGCAGGCCTGGAACCGTCTCCCCTGGTTTTGCTTCTGCCCCCGAGGTGGGGGACCCTTTAACGTCTGGACTCGGTAGAGGCGGGGGTGTCTCCCCTGCTCTGGCTCCTGCTGGAGATCTGACGGGGAGGGAGATCAAGACCCAGGAGGGCGAAGGGTGGGTCTGCTGCTGAAGTGTCCCGTGTGCGCCCGTGCCCCTAATGACATGCAGATGACTCCAGTTGGGGGGGACACAGAGAGGAGGAGCCGGGTGGGTACCCGTGGCCCCTGCCCGAAAGGGGTCCTGGCATGAATTCTAGCTCTCAGCAGAGGAGGTAAATATAATATTGACATCCCCTCCCCACATTTGGCTCGTGCTCTACAGTTTATAATCACATTCAGGCACTGACACAGAGCCTGCCCGGGTGCTCCTGTGAGCAGGGTGCTTGGGTGGGGAGGGGCTGGGACTGGGGTCCTTGGGACTGTGTTAGACTAGGTTTCAAACCCTGGTTGGCTACTTCCTAACTGTGTGACTTTGAGAAAGTCACTTTACTTGTCTGAGCCTTACTTCCTCATGGGAAAAACGGGTCTATGTAGATGATATCCCCTGAGGCTGTGCCTTGCGACCTGTAGAGCTGTACACGGCGGCCCGCCTCATCCTCTCTTTGGAGATCCCTGCCAGTTCTCCATGTTCCAACAGCTCCTCTCAGATGGGTTCTGTGATTCATGACTTGGCTTTACACAGGAAAAGGGGCTTTGTGGTTAAGTGCAGTTAGGGGCTGCTGGGTTGCCAAAGGGATGTCCGCTTCAGGTAGGTGAACCACAGACACTGGGAGGACCCAGACCCTGGTCTTCTCCGGAAGCAGACCCTGAGGCAAGATCTGAGGCCCTTTGCACCGGCTCTTCTCTCTGCCTAGAATGCCGCTCATCGCCCCAGATCTCTCGGGCTGGCTGCTTCTCATCTGAGCATCCTCCCAAATGCCAACTCCTCGTAAGGCCTTCCCTGCCCAGCCGCTCTCAAGGGGATCTCAACCCCTCCCATCTCTGGTGACCATCACTCCCGTCTCTTCTTGCCTTAGCACGTATCAGTGTATGAAGCCTTCATCTCCTTCTTCTTCTCCTCCCCGCCCCCTCATTGTCTGAATCCCTCAGCAGAATGTCAGCTCCCTGAGAAGGCGGCCCTGTCTGCTTTGTTCGCTCCACCTAGCATGGAGCTCGTATGCAGTAAGCGCTCGGCCAGTGTTTGCCGGCTGAGTGGCCGAACGTGCCTGGAGGTCGGGTGAGCCGGAGGGTCTTGGCACCAAGACTCGACTAAATTGGGTGGACCGGACGAGTCACGCCTCCTCCCTGAACCTCAGGTGCCACTTCTGCAAAATCTAGGAAGCAAACCAAGCCGATGTGAGGACTCTGTTCTAGGAGGGCAGTGCCCCGCCCGGCACACAGTGGGAGGACCGCGCAGATGGCACCCTGACTTCTCAGCCGGGAGGGCAGCAGCTCACCCTCTGCTGGGCTTTCAGCCTCCCGCCCACCACTCGGGCATCCACAACACGTTTAATTTGATTTAGGGAGGGAAGTCGTCTCTATGTTTTGGGTGGTGGTAGCACTGACGGTCTATTTCCTGCTCAATGCTGGGTGCCCAGTTGGCGTTAATGTAGAAAAATTAGTATTATCAGGAATGCATTTGGAGCGATCTCTGGCACTGGGATTCTTGACACGTTAATTAAACTTGATAAATGTTCTTGTCTAAAGATAACTTTTGAACAATGGATCCAGTCACCCGCTTATTAGTTGTATACCTGCTCTGGCAAATTGCTGAGGCGGTGTTCCGAGATCCCTGGGGCCGGCGCTGGGACTGGGGATGCCTGGGGAGGGGACTGCTCAGCCGCAGCTGCAGGACCCAGCACAGGTCTCCTGGGCTTTGGGGGTGGTGGGCACCGTGGAACAGGGAGAGCGGAGGAGTGTCTCCACCCCAGCTCCGAACGGGAACTCTTCCTTCTTCCACTTGTAATGCCCATCACAAACCCTTTCTGCTCAGCACCCGTCCCATCACCATGACAACCCAGCCCATGACGAGCACCACTGGGGGAGATGGGAGAGCCTGGAGATACGACCCTTGCCCTCCACCTGGAGTCATTGTCCTGGGGGCCCATCCTGGGGTGGCATGATCTTCCCTGCCATTCTGTTCCCCCCCAGTCTCCCCACATCACTGGCAAAGCCGGTGTTGCACAGAGCTGCTACCAGGATCTCAGCAACAAAACGGCCTTCCTAGAGTCCGGCATCAGGACACCCGGGTCACATCACCATAACATCCCAAATTCTGTCGAACTCTGCTCCGGGCACCAGCCAAGATGGCCAAGTGCAGAGACACGAGGGAGCATGGGATGTCACAGGAGTGACTGCACCACCCCCAGAGACCCCCAAAGGGACATGGGGCACTGTTTAGAGGGACAAGTGAAGAAAGATGCAGGTGGTTGGAACAAGTCACCAAGACTTTACTGGCCTCAGAGAAGGGCTCCTGCCGTTCTCAGCCTAACGCCTCTGGAGCAGTCCCCTTATTGCACCTCCAGCAGGTGGCTGTGGCTTTGACCCTGGCCTGACTCAGAGCCCCCGGGCATGCACACTCCCCTGGACAGCAGGAGGAGGTGTGCAGGCTGGGTTTGAGCCCTACAGTTTATTTACAGCTGTGTGGCCAGAGGCAGATCACTATGCCTCTCTGAGCCTCAGCGTTCTCAGCCGGCCCTGCCTCCCTCAGGGAGTGAAGAACAAATGGGGCATCCATGGGCATCTCATCGGTCCAGGACTTGGCGGAGGGGAGATGCTGTGGCGCTGGAAGGATTGCACAGGAGAAGCAGCCCTGCCCAGTGCACGAGGGAGAAGACAGGCCAGGCCAGAGCCACTGGCCGTGAGCCCAGCAGCTCTTCTGCTGTGTTTACACAGCACAGGCATGGCCAGCAGCCCTGACTAGTGAAGGGGGCCCCTTGCTCTTGGCAGAAGAGGTCGCCCCAGTGGGCTGGGCTGTTGTGGCTGCAGTCAAGGCTCCAGAGAGTTGGAGAAGCAGAGCACTGCAAAGAGACAGTTAGGCCTGGGGTCTGGAACGCCCCACGCTTGGTCCCCAGGCTCCTCCTCCTTGGGCCCACCCACCTCTCTGGTGGTTTCTCTTTTTTCTCTCCTCCTCGCTTGCCATGTTCCAGCCACACTGTCTGCATTTCACTTCTACACCTGGGTTGGGCTCCCACCTTCCACATGACCTTTGAAGGTGCTGTTCCTTCTTCCTGGGTTGCCTTTCCCTCCTTCCTGCGCCTGTGAACTCTTACTTAATACTTACTTCTCAGCTCACAACTCACTTTCTCAGGAAGACCTTCTCTGATCTCTCCCACCAGCTCAAGTCTTCCTTCTGTAGGCTGCATTGGTAGGAACTGAGTTAAGCGGCTAGAAGCAAGAGACTCAGCCACAGAGGTTCAAGCAAGTTAGGGGTTTATAATCTCCTACAGAAGAAGTGTGGGGGTCAGGAGTGCAGAGATGGGATAGTGAGTCCACAAAGTCAACACAGACACAGGCTCCTTCTGTCTTTCTCCTCTGTGGCTTCTAGTCTCAATGTTGCCTCATGATCACAAAATGGCTGCTGGAGCTCCAGTCATCTCATCTGTGTGCCAGATAGGAAGAAAGGGAAGGGAAAGGGACAAAACTGGAAGTTTTCCTAGGTGAGTCAGCCCCTTTTAACAATATCTTCTAGAGGTCACACCCAACAACTTCCATTGGCTACTGGCTACAAGGAAGGCTGGAACAGATAGCCTTTCAGCTGGTTTCATTATGACCCCTGCCCCGCCGTGAAAGTAGAGTCAGTAACTAAAGAAGAGGGAAGAAGGGATATTGGGCAGGCCCCTAGCAGTCTCTGCCAGACAGGCTCTCACAACCTAAGTGATTCTCATTTGTCTCAATTGTAATTTTATAATTGTTTTTAAAATTTTTTAAATGTATTTTTTAATTTTTAAAATTGAAGTACAGTTGATTTACAATGTTGTGTTAATTTCCACTGTGCAGCAAAGTGACCCAGTTTTATATATATATATATATATATATATATATATATATATTCTTTTTCATATTCTTTTCCATTATGGTTTATCACAGGAGATTGAATACAGTTCCCTGTGCTATACCGTAGGACCTTGTTGTTTATCCATGCTATATATTACCAGTTTGCATCTGCTAATCCCAAACTCCCAGTCCATCCCTCCCCCACCCCCCTCCCACTTGGCAACCATCAGTCTATTCTCTATGCCTGTGATTCTGTTTCTGTTTCAGAGATACGTTCATTTGTGTCATATTTTAGATTCCACATATGAGTGATATCATATGGTATTTGTATTTCCCTTTCTGACTTACTTCATTTAGTATGATAATCCCTAGGTCCATCCATGTTGCTGCAAATGGCGTTATTTCTTTTTTATGGCTGAGTAATATTCCATTGTTTACATACACCACATCTTCTTTATCCATTCATCTGTTGATGGTCACTTAGGTGGCTTCCATGTCCTGGCTGTTGTGAATAGTGTTGCTATGAACATTGGCGTGCATGCCTCTTTTCTAATTAGAGTTTTCATCTTTTCTGGATATATGCCCAGGAGTGGGATTGCTGGATCCTATGATAATTCTATTTTTAGTTTTTTGAGGAACCTCCGTATTGTTCTCCATAGTGGCTGCACAAATTTACATTCCCACCAACAGTGTAGGAGGTTTCCCTTTTCTTCCCACAATAAATAAACGTTTATATCCCGTTTTAAAGTTGGGGCTGGGACCTCCAAGTCTGGCCTCCAAGGCCTGTGTGCTTTGCACTGTTCTGTAGGCCCTATTAGCGCCCACCGGGGGCTGCTCGGCTATGATGTCGCTCACTAGTCCCCAGCCCGGGGTCCCGGCTCTGAGCCAAGCGCGCCGAGGAGGAAAAGCATCGTTATCCTCAAGTCGCAGCAGCGGAAGTCTTAATTTCATTCCGAGGCTCACATCTCAGCACAGAACTGGCTCCCCCTCGGGAGGCGGGCTGTGCACAGATTGCCCTTGAGGTGGCATCTGCATCGGGAGGTGATGAAGCTCCTCTTATCTGAGCAGATCGATTCGGACTTGCTATTTCTCTCCCGGGAGCAGCCCCGGTGCCCGCAGGCAGAGTTGGAGCGCCTCCTCCAGCTGGACTGCCCTGTGTCACTCCCATTGCCGCCTCTGGGAGCTCTACGGTATAAGGAAGGAACCAGAAGCCACGCCTCTGGGTTTGAGTCCTGCTTCTGGGCACTGGGGACACGGCCGTGAACGAGGCTGGCCTCCAGCACATCACGGCTGCGGTGGCTACCATGGGCGGTGGGTGCCCACGTAGGCGGTGGTCATGCAAAGCGGGAGGAGGGACTACTTCACTGGGACAGGAGTCATCAGGTAGGGCTTCCCAGAGGAGGGGACAGGCAGGCAGAAGGGGACGTCCAAGGGCACTTCTGGGCAAAGGGAAATGCACGGTGTTTTTGGGGTTACAGGGGTAAGAGTGGTGGCCACAGACATGCTGGAGAGGCCGCCTGGCACGGGGTCGCCAGAACCTTGAGAGTCTAGGTGGGTGCTGATTTTCAACCTGCTATCTGCTTCCCCACTCTGAACCTCAGGCTCCTTTTCGGAACTGTTGCCAAAGTGTGACCTAGTAAGGTGGCCCCCTGTGGTCCTTGTGAGGGTGCCATGGCTCCCAGTTGGTGCTAATTGAATAATGGCTATTGCTATAACCAGGGTTATCATGACATCGCATTAATTATTAGTATACAAAGTTCTTCACGTGGTGTGTCCCAAAGGTTCAGTTCGAGAAACAGAAACCACTTCCTTTGGGAGGAGATTTCATACGGGAGATTAGATGCTTTCCAAGTCTTGAAGGCGGGGGAGCGAGGGTCAGTCCACGGACACTGTGTGTGTCCCGGTTCTGCGATTGTCCTGTGGGCCCGGCTGGGTCCCTGATGGCTTTTATGTGGGGAGTGGCACAGCCCCCTTGGCCTCAGCCCTGCTGCCTTGCTTGGAACGTGGGGTCCACTAAGCCCCTGGGCTCCTCTGGGCACTTCCCAGCCCCAGCTCCAGGCCAGGCCTCCTGGAGTTTATCTTGTGCTTTCTGTTGAAGTTTCTTAAAAAAGCCTTTTGAATGTAAAATGAAATACCAATATAGAAAACCACATACGACAAATGTTACCGTAACCCCCTCCCGGGTCAAGAATGAGAGCCTTGTCCGCCGCCCTAGCCCCCTCCACGGGCCCCAGGCCCGTC